CCCCCCCCCCAGCTTTTACCCGAACAGCTGCTCTTTCCGGTGCAAAACATTCATTGCATCCACTGGCCTCGCTTTAAAGTCAGGACCACAGATGTCCAGACTTCCATAGTGTGCTCACCTTTCCCACTCTTCAGAATCCGCATCCCTCTCCTCCTCCTCGCCCCGCACGCCCTCCCCCCCTCCAAGCTGTGACTTTGCCTCGGACTTAGAAGATGAAAGCCATTAGGCAGGAAGTCACCCCCACAAGCGCCTGCATCCGAGCTCCATCTCTGCTCCGAGGGCAAGTCCTGCGTGTGTGTCCCGAACCCTCTCCTATCCCCCAGGACTCTGCTCCTGCAATTATCACCCTCCACGGTCACTCCTCCCCTGCTACAGGGCCAGGCCCTGCCCTGGAAAGCCCTCTATGTCCTCTGTAGCTGCTGGCTTCTCAAACTCTTTGCTGCACGGTCTCTAACCCCTCACATTCTCTCCTTGACCCTCCATGGGGCACCTGCACCCTGTCCTCGGCTGAATCTACTGCTGGTGGGTCATTCGGGACTCATGCCCGAGTGTGTCCTCTTAATTTTCTCAGCAACATTTTAGACGACAGACTCTTGCCCACCCTGGGGACACTGCAGGCCTGACTCCCTCCTCACGGGTCACCCCTTCCTTCTCAGGCCCCTCTTCTCCCCCAAAACTCCCAATCACCGATTCTCACGGAGAGTGGTTTTTGCCCCTTCTCCTCCAGGGACATTTGGCAATCTGGTACTTGAAGAGATTTCTCGATTGTCACAAGAGGAAGGGGACGCTACTGGCATCTCGTGGGTAGTGGCCAAGGGCCCTGCTAAACACCTTACAACGTACAGGACGGCCCCCACGACAACTATGACACAAAACACTAGTAACGCGGAGACGGAGAGACCCTGGCCTAAATGTCGCAGCACCGCCGTTCAGTCCTGGGGTCCCTTTTCTTCTGGCCCCAAACTCCTCTTGGTAGTTTCCTCTAGCTCCACAGCTCCCACCTAGAGGCTGAGGACTCCCCGAACTACATCTCCAGCCCTGAACTCCAGGCTCATTCGGCCCACACACTCTCTCCTCTCCTGAGGTCTCGGTGCTGTATGTGGGGCCCTCACGCCTGCGTCAGTCACAAGTGTGGTTGCCTCAACCTCCAAAACATACTCCAGAAGCATCCACTTCTGCCCATTTCCACAGTCCCCATCACTCTGGTTTGTACAACCGTAGTTAGTGGCTTCCAACTGTTCTCCCTGCTTCCGGTCTATTTTCCACGGAGCATCCAGAGTGATTTTTTTTTTTTAATTTTTTTTAAATCTTGGATCTTGCCCCTCCCCTACTTAGAACCCTCCAGTGGCTGCTCCCTGTTGCTCGTGGAATAAAACCATCCCTCACTCACCTAGCTCTGCCAACATCCCCCATCCCACCTCATTTCACCCCTCCCATCACCCCTTCCTTCTTCGTGCCTTAGGGCCTTTGCACTGGCTATTTCTTTGGATTTTTTTTTATAAGATAGTCCTTCCTATCATTTGGGTCCCAGTTGAAATACGAACCTAAAGGAATGCCCCCCCCCCAATCATTTACCAATCTTACTTAATCACTGTCCTT